TTGTTAGTGATTCTAAACAATAGATAGACTAGCACAAATTACAGGTTTATTCACTAGGTTATTAGTTTAGTAGTGTAGCGTGTGGCAGTTCCCCTGCCACACACTCTATCTATATAGTCAAATATGTTTGTTAGTAATATTATCAATTTACTCCCAAAGTAGTCCTGCCCCACAACAGTGGTCGCGACTACATAATATTTGATGATGACTCATCTTTGAGCCAAAACCCGAGTCTCTCAAATCTGAGACCCTCAGGCCTCACAATATAGGCAACTCTATGTACGGGCTCTTCCCGGCCTCTGCTTATGGGTAACTCTAAAGCTGACCCTTCCCCAGGTCCCAGGCTTGGTTTAATCGAGTCCCAGGCCTAGGTTAGCCACCTAACCAAACTACTTATACCCCTAGGGTTATACTCTCAGGCTAACACCCCTAATATTCCACCCAATGTCAATCACAACCCCTCGCTAGGATAGATAACATAGTTCCTTATGCAACTTTCATAGCCAGACTGTGGGTAGCCCTCACTACCTACACTATATACACTATACACAAGATATCCTTACATCATCACCCCCTCGTGGAGGATAGAGTTCTTCTCAACGGTCTGAGAATTTGTCAACAAACTAACGCAGGCACTATAACTAATGACGCGACGGCAGCTCAGATACATTATCTGCTATCTGTAGTTCACCCCAAGTGTAGATGCTGCTTCTTGTAGAACGCCGACTGTGCAAAAGCGAAGCCATTCAAGATCTTCCTCTTAAATACATCACGACTCTTCTTCAGCGGTAACACCCGCATCAACAAGACCTGATAGTCCTCACCAAGCACCTTCTTCCCGTCTTCGCCGTCCACCAGTGGTGCATAAACTGGCAGATTCGCCTCGTCACACCAGAATTCCCAGCGTCCCCAGGCTGAACAAAGCTCACCCGACCAGACACGCGTCTTCTACGCATGGCATGACCCAACGCTTGACGGTAGCCATCCTGCTGCTCAGTCAGATGTGAATGATATATTAGCCACCACAGAGCGCCGTTCCTCTTGCTCCGAGAGCTTCTCAACGTGCGGCTTCAACTCCTCCCTCAAGAAAGTACGGCGAGATCCATCAGGCATCTCAACCGTATGCGTAAAGGGTGCTTGAACCGCCACTACACGCGCCGGTCCACCCCACCGCGAAGACAGGTCGTGAGACTTCCCTCGCAGCCGATACCAGACCCTCGAGCAGACTGCCAACAGAGGGACATCCTCCCGCCGACTTGTCTGCTGTTCCAGTCGAGCCCGCCTGTCCCTGACCGCTGCTACCGCGTCACGGACCATCGCCTGTGCCTTGCTCTGACTCCAACAAGGACAACACCCTGTCCTGTAACTTCGGACTAACCTGTACATTAAAGTCCCTCCCTGTCAGGTGGAAATATGGCACAAACCCTGCCACCGAGGTCCTGGTGGTATTGTACATCCGCACCATATCGTGAACCCAAGTGTAACCAAGCATGAGGCGATTCATCATTAGCCTCAATCTCCCGGCGCAACCAATACTTAATTGTCCTAATCAACGTCTCCGGTCTGCCGTTGCTCTGATGATTGTCGGCCGTCACCCAGTACACCCGCACCATATCGTAAACTAAGTGTAACCAAGCATGAGGCGATTCATCCTTAGCCTCAATCTCCCGGCGCAACCAATCCTTCATTGTCCTACTCAACATCTCCAGTCTGCTATTGCTCTGATGATTGTCGACCGTCACCCAGTGTAGTTCGATGCCCACCGTTCTCAGAATGGATTAACATTGTCATTCTGGAACCTCTTGTCCGCGTCCATAACCAGCCGTGCCGGCGATCACCACGCCAACACATGCTTTTCTAAGAAGCGGACCACACCTGGCCCATCCGTCGATACAGGACACAATCGCGCAAACAACATCCTAGTCTGCGTGTCCACTACCAGCAAGACCTTGGATTGTCCGTTAACGGTGTTAAAGTCCATGAAATTCATGCTTATCTCGCGCATGACCTCTTATGGGCGCACTGGCAGCAGCAGCAAGCCTTTCGCCAAGCCTAGTTCCTCAGCGAACGCCTGGCACGCATTGCAGCTCTTCCGGACATGATCATACATCTTTTTCATGCCAGCCCAACCCCATAGCCTGCGCACCAGATCATCCAGCCTCTTGGCACTGGCATGTACCTAACGATACGCTCGAAGACATCACCCCCCCCACTTCCACACCAAACACAGAACGCTTCAAGCTTCGCAAGCGTTGTCGCAACAGCTTGTCACCCAGCTTATCCACTGGTGGCTCTTCCGCGTCATCCAGTGGCACACCATCCGCCGGATTCTGCTCTAACTGGACTAACTGCTGTTTGGTGAGTGCTTCCTCACACTCTCGCGGATGGTCCTCCACTGATGTATCACCCTGTGATTTATCAATGTCCATTTCCTCCAAGACCGGGTGGCTGTTCGCAACCACCGCTGCCTTGCGCGCACGCCGCGTAAGCACCGGCGACTTATCACTCATACTCCGAGTGTATATAGCACCGAGCGACCCCTCACTCGTGCTCACCTCAGCTGACTCCAGCCAAGTTTCTGCCATCGCACCCAGCGATCCCTCACTAGGGTTAGCAGATGCCCCTCCCAGCCATACTTCCGCATGCTTCAGATACTTATTCAGAACACCCTTAGCCGCCCGCAAAGACTGAGTGGTAAACATTAGTGCATTCACTGCACTAACATGGGGTTGTTTCAATACCAGCCTCCTCCGCTGGCATTCCTCTACGCACCGATTTCCCACTTGGATGCGCTACCGCCCCTACGACACCACTCTGTGTCATACAGGACACTACGTCTTCCGCACGTAGTACTGCCGCAGCAGCCAGCTTCTCCCAAGCTGGCCGCTTAGCTTCCAACTCCTCCCAGAAGTCTCCACGCAGCTTGTGGTCCCGGTAATGTCTCATATGGCAGACCAGCGAAATAAAACCTGACGCATCCATCTGCTCATTCCCGTGTCGGAGGAAGATCCCCTACTTGAGATATATCACCATAGGATCTGCTGACAGCAGAGGTACCATTTCCATAAACCACCGTGCCTCCGGTGCATACGGACAGACCATCGTCACCGTAGCCTTGTCCCTGCGAATCCTGGTGACAACCTTGCCCAAGTCTGACCACCTGGGGTTAAAGTACTAACGTGGACCCATCCACGTCCTCGACGCAAACACACCCCCAGCCAAGGTAGGCTGGTAGTACGGCTTCATCGATAATTCGTTGGATGCGCGAACCTTTCAGCGTCAAACGGACCAAACTTGTCCCCGGTCTTGTCAAAGAGCGCCCTGTTCACTGCATAAGATTCTGTCTCCGGCTTCACCACCGCTTGCTCAGCCCAACGCGCTCTATCCTTCGCCGGTAGACGCCTCGCTCGCATGATTGGGTCAATTTGGTATACCAGCCGAGATTGCACATCCGCCACTGGATTCAATTCTCCCGGCACATGCTTTAGGATAGTGTCGAAATCACGCAGCACCTGCGCGTATCTAGCCATATATCTATATCTAACCGTGGACTCATACGACGTGGGGTCTTGCGCTAGCATACGCACCAACGGCTCATGGCCCGTGAACACCGTCAGCGGGTGGCGCGAACGCTTGACAATCCTCCAGGACTTATGAAGACAATACACGATGGCTATAGCCTCCTTGTCCGTAATGTGGTAGCCCAACTGCGCCGGGCTGAACTTCGAAGACCAGAACCCCACACGGCATAGCTTACCCTTGCGCCGAGCAAACAACCTCCCACTTACTCCTACCGAGTCACAGGCATCGCAATACATCTCCAGTTTGTCTTCGAATCCTGGCTCGACCAACACCCCTTCCTTGGCCACCTCCTCCCGAATCCGATCGTAGACTGCCTGCTGCGTCCGATCCCACATAAAGGGTACTTCTTTCTTCCGATTCGAGATAGGGGACATGATCCTAGAGTAGTCAGGGATGTATTGGCTCCAATAACCAATCGTGTGATACCACTAGGCCAAGAGATCCTTATCCGTGGGCGGCGGCATGCGCATGATGGATTCCATCCGATCCTCACTAATGTACGACCCGTTCTCATCCACCACTCGCCCCAACGCGATGACCGGCCGATCTGAGATCCCAAAGCAACACTTCTTGATGTTCAATTTAGCGTTGTGCTTCACACACGCCACGATGAGATTTTTCATGCTCGACCAGTGCTTCCTAACACTGTTGTGACCCACGCCCATGTCTTTAGGCTATCTAGGCCATCCACACTTTGAATTCATGCTCCATCCGTGCCTGGATGATTCACGATGCAGGTTTGATGCCGAACGGCATGCCAACAAACGTCCGCTTTCCCCACGGCGTCCAGCGTTGATCAGACGCATGAAATGCAATGAAGACGCTATCGTCAATACCGTAACACTCCACTTTCCGGTGGATGATATGCCACTCAACCTGGAAACGGACGCCAGAGATTACGAGGTAGACGGTGCATTATTCCAATGGGTCGAAGGCAAGAAGCACTACCTCATGTTCTTCAGTAAGATGCTCAATCCGGTACTACGCAACACCAATGAAGGAACTTCTAGCAATAGTCTATGGGTGGACACACTCCCGGGAATACCTTCACGGCCAGCGGTTTATAATGTTTACCAATCACAAGGCATTAGTATACATGAACAGCCGGCTCAAGCTCAACCCTATGATGCAGCATTGGCATCACATCATCGCGCCATTCAATTTCACTATTTCACATATTCTTGGTGAGAAGAACGCCCTACCTGACATGCTCAGTCGGATACATGAACACCGCTGAAACAGATATACCGGCAATCCTTTATGCAGGTTGCTAAAAATTATTTCTAAGCCACTTCGAACAGGCACAATGGATATTTGGCCATAATAATATAGACGTATTCGCAGCGCCACATAATACACAGCTTGTCCACTTCTGGACCAAAAAACATTCACAGAGAAGCGTTTGATAATGAATGGGCCCTAGTGGACGGTTGAATAAACGACCGTGGAAATTGATACACCGTACGCTCCGGAAAATTATATCAGACGGGAATACTACGACGGTGTGCCTACCGTGGACCTCAAGAGCACCGTGGTTTCGATACTACAAGCAGAGCTAGTGTTGGTGCCTCGTAGCCCGCACACTTTCTTGAAATATGCAAAATAGCCTTGCGGCAAGATTCAATGGGGCCATACAGTAGTCGCACACGTAGGACCATCATCGGTCTTCCGATTGACGGAGAGTTTTACTCAACGTCTGGAATATGCAGAGCCTCGTCGCATGCCATACCAACAATATATGGACGCCGTACGAGAGATTTCGGTGGCGATAGCAAGCGACGTTGCACAACCGGCCTTTATTAACGGAACACCAGCGGAACACCAGCGCCGAACACAGCTCACACAAGCACACCATGAATAGGACACAGGCCAACAGTTGCAATAGAACGGACATGTCTGGCCCGGGGCATTTGAGTTGGCTACATAAATCAAAGGACAATGCTGGCAGCGCTTGGGACAATACTCTTCGGACGAGAGGTTTCATCCTGTGATCAGCTTCGACGCCCAGTACCTCTGGGATCACATCTCCAGGTCGACTGCATTTCGATGCCGGTAACATCTATCCAACAGGATAAATTTGTTCTGCATGAGTTAGTCGTTGCATCGGGGTACTCAGTTTTACGTGCTACACCTGATATGTCCATGGAGACGACCGCTCGCACGTTACAGGCGATATCTGGCGAACATGGCTTCTTACACAGACTGCAAACGGATATAGGACTAGCATTCACCAACTGGTGGCCCCACTTGTCAAAGTGGTTGGGATACTTTATAAAGCCTCACCACTTTATCGAACCCAAGTTCTCGGCGCTACTGAACGTCGGTACAAATAGATAACACGGTCGATACGTTTCTACTGCGAGGCGATACTCCAGGCCTGGGACAAACGCCTACTCTTTACGATACTCACCAGAATCTACGTATCTCACGACGACATAAGAGCGCTCCGTTTAGCGTATATTTCGGCCGCCGACATGTTCCGTTTGCTGATTGAACCGACGATGTACCTGAGCAATAACTGGTTACCAATGACATTTGGGCTCAACGACTTGACCTCAGTTACAGTACACAACTCCACCCACGTTGCACAAGATTACCAAGCCGTATACAAGCTAATGAAGACATTCGATCGTCTTCACCCCCATGGTCTGGTGCACTTCGATACAGACGAAGTAGTGATGGTGAAACCAGAGAGACGGCCACCGTTATTGGTCCATATGGTGTTACGAGCTGTAACGGTGAGAGCTATGACCATACACATAGATATGGGCATCTCTGACAAGAAGGGGGCTCCGCATTCCGTCATGTTATCAAACACAGGACGAATGACGACACGGGTAAACTCGAATACATTATACGCTGGCTTGAGGGGGTGTCGACATGAGAAACTGCTTGGGCATTCGACGGACACACCGACACGCGTACGTAAACGCCGTCGTGACCAGATATAACTTATTATATACGTTATAGATACATATTTTCTTTTACTTGCTTCTAGTCACCTGCCCGTGTGGTGAACAAATAAACGATTCCTTAGCTCTCTGGGATTCTGTGGTTAAATGCTAGCACACCACCTTTTCAGGACATTCCTTCAATTTCTCGAATTGGGTACACTTATAGCGCTTCAGCTTGGGGGGGGGGGGGGTGTTATAGTCAGGAAGTTCCCGAGTAGAGTTTTTAATTAATATTACGGTTTATTTAATATTAGGGTTTTGTTAGAGACAACATTTTGAACCTGGTTTATCCAATATGGATACAACTGATTAGGGTAAAGCACATGACCAAAATGATATCTACAGGGTTAATTTAAAAAAAGGAACAAAGCCTTCCCTTGTACGAAGGAAGTATGAAAGGTACTTTCATTTACTATGAAGGCAAAAGAATTTGCAACTACGACATTGACTGTGCCAAAGAGGGCAAAGGCTACACCGTTACAAGAGCGTATAGAGGCGAATCATTTATGTGTCTTAAGATGCTGAAAAGCTCCCTGGAGAAGGTGGAAGGTGAAACTAGTGCTACGACGGGTAAGTACGGAATTGACACTCCAGACTCGGGCACGGAGTTAGGCGGACGTCAAGTTGCTGCGGGCCAAAAACGACATAGCAGGCTAATCAATAGCGTCCTGCGAAACGTTCAACAAATGAAGGTGTCGCATGCGATTGACACAGAGAATGCGGTTTACGCTTTGCTCAGTCGAACGACTTCACAGTCAGATAACGAAATAGGTAAAATTAAGGCCGATCACCCAACTGTTGAGACGAATTTATAAGACTCACCCTCAAAACTTTACAAGCCCAAAATAAATTACGGGTTATATTTTGACTGAGTAGTTGTAATGATATCTTAAAAAGGCACATGGTAATTGTTATACTATATAGCCAATATGTGAAGTGATAATAAAGTTGCTTCGTTAGGCAAATACATGTTCCAACAGGTTGTGGTCGGAATACACGAACTTAGGTTTCTTTTAGTTTTATTGCAGTTTTTACAGTTTATCAGAATAAGCTGATATATCGAATATATTTTATTATATACCCTATGTACATCGCTTAGATTTCCACCCCTGATCCTTTGATTCCCCCCTTCTCTCTGATCTCACCACCTCTGATCTCATCACCTCTGATCTCACCACCTCTGATCTCACCACCTCTGATCTCACCACCTTTGATCCTCTGATATCACCATATCTGCTCCTCCAATTCCTTCTCACACATCACCATGAGTCAACTTCCGCCCACGGGCCAAACCCCTATCACTACCTTTTCGTCTTTTGAGGGCGCCCAACGTTTCGAACGTGACTTCTTCTCAACACTCCAGCCATACACCAATATCTCCCACGCCAATCATCACATCCAGCTTACCCGCACCATTATATCTGCTATTCTTGACACCAACGACAACCCTAACATCAACAACACCGCCATATACTTAGGTGCACACTCTGCATTCTCCGAACTCGATGCCATTTCCGCTATCACTGATCGCAACAAGCCCGTATTCGACGTGACCGCGCCAACTTATCTACTGATCTCGACACCATCCGCAATGCATCTGCCAAACATTCTGACTCCATTGCTGCTCTCAACGCCGATATTGTACGCCTTCGTCACGAGCGCCACACAATCCTCACCGAATGTAACACCGCTAATACTGCCCGCGATTTAGCTCGAGCTGACCACGACCAACACACCATCGAACCCAACTCTCTAGCTAATGACCTCGATCGCATCCACAACGAACGCGGCACACTCATCACTGAACGCGACCAGCTTGTCACTGAACTTGATCACATTCACTCCGAACGAGTTACCCTCGTCACTGAACGCAATCAGGCGCAATCTAATTACAATGACATCGCCCTCGAACGTGACAATCTTCCTCGTAATCTTACACGTACACAAGACATCAATACCACCACAACCACCGAACACACCACATTACAAAACAGCCTCGCCCGCATCCGTCGTGAACGTGACACATACTTCGAGGAATGTGAAGAGACCCGCATTGAACTCATTCAAGCACCCAGCGTATACAAAGGTGACACCTTTGAGAATATGTAGAGCAACTCCAAAATAAAGTGGATGAAATGATGATGAGATATCGCCAACATCAGAAGGTAAAAATCAAAGCCGAAGCTGGAGATGATCTGGACAGCGAAAGCAAACCAGCCGGCGATTATGATGACGACCATGGGCCTAATATAGGACTATGTTTCGAGGCTGATCTGATGGAATCAGCGAGTGATGTTGAATATTATTGCATTGAAATGCATCGAGACAGTCCCCCATTAGCAAAAAGTGCCAAGTTGCCTTTCCAAGGAAGAATGGCTGAGGAGCTGAACGGGAAGGATGAACGGATACAGGCGAAATATGTGAGAGAGCAGCCGAGGCAAGTGGAATCTATTAGGCTTGCCCAGAGATTTTTTCGAACGTGTGTAAGACAATGTCTAATGGAAATGCGTCTCAGAAATTATCATGCATATGGCAGTAAGACGATTCGGATCAAGATTGCTTACGGGTGATACCGGAAATTAGGGAGGAGCACAGCAACTGCAAATATCTCATATTTTTGCGACCAGTGAACAAGACACGTTTACCTGTCTAAGATGGTACACTACAAAGGATACTTAAACGACTTTCCGATGATGGTGCTCTGTCATATGGTATGAAATAGTGTGGTGATCGTGAAAACCCAAAGCTCGTCAATAATCTAGAGACGTTGTGTTCACGCGGTTATGTCGCGGGTGTTCAACAGAACGATAGAACCAGAAAATTAATTTATGATATACTATTCTGGTATGTGTCTACAAAGAAGCAATACCGACCACGCTAGCTACGAGCTAGAAATTGAAACTATTATGACCAGTCTGAAAAAGGTATCCTTTGACAACAATTAATACTCGGAGACAATCCCTCTCTTAACACTTTGATAAATTACTACAAAGCTGAAAGCTCTTAAATTGAAAATTAAACGATTTTGTCAGGTACCTAAACCCTAAACCCTAAACCCCTAAAACCTGGTATTAAATAGAGTGGTGGTCGTGAAAACCCACAGCTTGTCAATAATCTGGAGACGTTGTGTTAACACGGTTATGTCGCGGGTGTTCAACAAAATGATAGAACCAGAAAATGAATTTATGATCCACTATTCTGGTATGTTTCTACAAAGAAGTAATGCCGACCACGCGAGCTACGATGTAGACATTAAAACTAATGACCAGTTTGAAAAGGATATCTTTTGACAACAATTAATACTCGAGACGATCCCCCTCTTCTTAACCCTTTAATAAATCATCACAAAACCGAAGGCTCTTAAATTGAAAATTGAAACAATTTTGTCAGAGAAAGTCATAGACTGTAAATATTTATTTTAGATACTTTGCTAATGGTTCGTTACGAGCCAATCTGTACCTGAACAGTTCAAATGGTGCCCTGGCGACATACTATAATATGTCGAATAGGTACAGATTACAACAAAGTGAACATCATCAAAAACTTCTAAAACAATGTGGATAAATTTAAGATTCCACTCTTGACACCACGGTCTCCGAAGAGACCCGAGACCCGGGCAACAATAATACCGGCAATATTCGTTTCTGAGGTACGACCTGAACCCGTAGAATCAATGAGGAGCTCGTCACTAGCAAAGGCATTTTACAAGATAGGTTCAGGCAGAACTACTGATTATGGAACTGAGATCAGGCTACTTGAAATATACATTTGCTTAACGGAGTAACTTCATTATCATATTACATATTGGGTATATAGTATAATAATTATCATGTGCTCTTTGAAGATATTATTACAATTATTCGGCCAGAATATGAACCGTAATATACTTTGGGCTTATTGGGGTTTTAGGATTTGAGTCGTATAAATTCGTCTCAACACTCTCCTGAATTTGGAAGCGAAAGGACAGTGTGTATACATAATTGCATATGTGTTGGATACTCTACTAGGGTACTGGTAGCAACATATAGACTTGCTCTCCTCAGACTGCATTGAGGCTGGAATATTTGTTAAATGAAAACAAAAAAGGGTGGTGGGGCAATGGACTGGGGCTTCATTAAGTGGTGGCAGCGAATCGGATAAATATTAGAAGTTTCGTGATGGCGCCTGGGGCCGCAGGCGTTGGGGGCGAGCGTGAACTGAGAGGACAAAGTAGAAGGGGGAGGAGTATTGGTGGTAGTCACCAGTCGGGTGTTGTGCACGTTGTGTGCGTCTGGGTATAGGTACGTGGGTGTAGTATAGGGTAGCGATGTTACGCATAGTGGGTCTAGAGTAAGTAGGACGGGTGTCTAGATGGATAGTAGTGAAGATATAGCCAGGAGGGAGGAGGATGGATCAAATCAGAGGGTAGAAGGGGGAGGAGTCTTGGCGGTGGTCACCAGTCGGGTGTTGTGCACGTTGTGTGCGTATGTGTATAGGTACGTGGGTGTAGTATAGGGTAGCGATGTTACGGATAGTGGGTCTAGAGTAAGTAGGGTGTTGTGCACGTTATGTGCGTATGTATATAGGTACGATAGTGGGTCTAGAGTAAGTAGGGCTGGTGTCTAGATGGGTAGTAGTGAAGATATAGACAGGAGGGTGGAGGATGGATCAAAGCAGAGGGCGGATGGCGGTGAGCATCGATCGGGCGGAGCTCTCCTGAAGGTATGGACGATGTTGTGTTGGTAATGTGTGTATGGTTGTTATTGAACGAATGTGCTAGTGTTGCAACAAGAGACGGTTGATCAGGGTCGGGGATGGCGGTGAGTGTGTTAGATGTATGTTTAGAGTGGGTGGGTCGAGGAAGGCTCTTAGTCAAGGTGTCTGCGATGTTATCGGCAGAGTTAACGTATTTGGTGGCGGTGACACCTTGGTCCTGGAGGTCACGAATATGGTGAACGCGAACACACGACGTGCTTCAGCTGCTTAGGAGTGCCCGAGTTGGGGATGACATGTACGGCGGATTGGTTATCGCTATGGATATCAGTGGGGGCATCGGGGGTAAAGCCAAGTTCAGTTAAGAAGTTGCGGCGCCACTGTATGTGTTTAGCGGCTTCACTGGCAGTAAAGTATTCGGCTTCAGCAGTGCTAGTGCTGACAGTTTTTGGCGTTTACTTTCCAAATCACTTGTGTGCTACATACGCGAATGACGTAACCGGTGGTGGAACGACGGGTAGTGAAGCAGCTGGCATAGTCGGAATCAGCGTAGGCGTCAGTGGAGAGCGGTTGGGGTGTTTTGCTGTACTCGAGGCCAAGCGTGGGTCTGGTTCGGAGATAGCGGAGGACGCGACAGGCAGCGAGCCAGTGGTCTTCGATAGGGTTGAAAATGAAACGTGAGAGATTGTTGACGGCGATGGTGATATCGATGCGCGCTAGGATAAAGAGGTAGTGAAGGGTGCCGACGAGTTCGCGGTATGGGTAGTAAAAGGAGTCGGAAGGGGGGTGTTGACTGGATGAGCGGTGGGGATATCTAAGTGCTCGAGGGCCTCATTAATGTATGAGGTTCGGACGATGCTAGTAGAATCAACGTTAGTGATAATGCGACAGCCGGGAAGCCAGGTGGGTTTGCCGAGGACAGAGCAGTCGAATTCCGAAAGAAGTTGTGCTTTGAAGCGTTCAACGTCGGCTGGAGTCTTTGTAAGATTCGGTCTATTAAGGAGATATTAACGCCATAGAGTAAATAAACGAGTAGGTAAGTTCAAAGTATCGTAAAAAATATCAAAGCAAATAAACGAAACGAGACTTTTAGTAAAGTTAGGTATGCCTCGTGAAAACAGCAATACTATGAGGGATTATGAGGCTGAGATATTGCCTATATATATTTCTCTCAGTACTGTTTCCGCCGAAGGGTTTTTATTTAGTGTTTCGTTGTCGCTCTATTAGAAACTATGGTATGTTTCATTGGGGTTTTCTTTAGAAGAAGAAAAAATACTCTTGATGTCCTTAGTTATTGACTTGCCACTTATCAAGAATTACCGACTTAGCCTTCATCAGACTGGCACATCTAGTTGGCTGATCGGAGGATCAACTAGGTAACATAGTCCCTAGAAACCTATATTCGGTTGAGCCATCTCGCTACCGAAGTATTCAGATATAAATAAAGATGGAAAGTAAATATGGTTCTATTAATAGAACTAGACCAACTCTTATGTTTGGTATTTTGCTGGGGCCTTTTAATGGCCTCGTCCAAATATCTGATATATAAAATGGAAAAGGTATTAATTAATTAAACCATTAAAAACCATTTTAGGAAACTTAAGTTCCTCGTACTATTAAGAGTACAGTTAGGAAACTTGAGTTCCTCGTACTATTAAGAGTACGTTTATAATTTACGTACTGCTTAAGAGTACGTTTATAACATAGAGTCTAATGTGGAGGCCCGGCTTATTACACAGCCCTCACCCAGCTTTGAGACCCGTGAGAAGCAAGTTGCTCACTCAAGCTGATTATGGGTCAAAAAGCGAGAAAGGAAAAAGACGGGTCGAAACATTTAAGTAGCATAACATATAATTAATGTTTCTCAGGCGGAGAAGTTAAACGTTCTCGGTTACCCTGTGAGTTTTGGGCTTTGGTCCAGTAGGTCCGTGGTGGTCGACTGGACGTTTCTTACGCTTCAGTGTCTTAAACACATATGAAGGATGAGCATTAAAGCTCGGGATAAATGCTGTAGGCGGATACGTTTTAACTTCCGTTCCTTCAGACGATGGAAACATGCTATCTTTTTCAGCTTGTGACTTATGCAGGCCATTTTCGATTAAAGGCTTTTAAACAGTCTTGATTATCGAAAGCATCTGAAGTCAACTCAGCTATTGTACCGTCTATAAAGCGTGTACGATAGTATGTATAGCCTCCCTTATCCGTTCTCCATATACTGTCTTTAAATTCCGAACGATCAAGAGGGGCATTAGAGTCATGTCTTCTTGCGAGTATAATCTCTTCGATTAAAGGCTTTTAAATAGTCTTGATTATCGAACGCATCTGAAGTTAACTCAGCTATTGTACCGTCTATAAAGCGTGTACGATAGTATGTATAGCCTCCCTTATCCGTTCTCCATATAATGTCTTTAAATTAAGAACGATCAAGAGGGGCATTAGAGTCATGTCTTCTTGCGAGTATAATCTCTGTAGTCGGAATACGACTTGTGCCTATATGAAGCGCACTAGAACCATCGGGGTTATTTACCTCGTACATTCCACTTTTAGTGTCTGCTACAGAGATTATATATGGACCTATCCATTTAGATGATAATACAGTAGCATCGGGATTACGTTGACGGATGTTAACTCTGTCACCGACCTGATACTCTGCTATCTTCTTGGTAGTGTTCCAACGCTTTTGCCTTTTCAATAAGGCTATATTGCGTATTTCTCGCAAGCAAGGATATACAACGTTATAAGTACGTTGTACCTTCTCTAACCATGGTAACTCATGGTGATCAGGTTCGTCCTTGTTAAAGGGTAATTGTAACTCACTATATGTGCCACGAAAATAGTGAGTGGTTGTAGTTCCTGTAACCGGATCAGCACATTCGTT